ATAAACTTTCCGAGTTAATATTATAAAACCATGATTTCTAATAGATCACATGAAAAATTTAGTAGTTATCATGATACACTTGGTAAAAGACTAGAAAAGTTGTGGTTTAAATTGCCAAGAGAAAAAAACATACTTCATGAACACATGTTTAAAACTTGCTAAATCCTGTAACTTTATCCACTGAAAGTCATTTTTTTTGCAAAGATCAATTCGATGTAAGTACTCATTGAATAATATTACAGTTTAAAAATACAATTTTCAAGGTTATGAATGTTTTTTAATAACCAAAAAATTTTGTTTCTTTTTATAGTTCGCCATAATTTTGTACCCTAATTGAGTGGATTATATAAATATAATATTTGTGATAGTATAGTAAATTGTAAATTAAAAGCTGTGATTGAAATTTTAAGTTCTTAAGAGCAAACATATATAAAGTCTTATATTAAACAAAACTGCTATATTATTAGTCATTATCTATGTTTATATTTTTTTTATGATAATATTTACTTTAAAATTTTAAAGTTTAACATAGATATGCAAAACTCATTATATAATAAAAAAAATGTTATTTGTCATTAAAAATAATTTCATTAACATAGCATTTTTTTGTATTATTAATGATTGTTCCTACATATACTATAAACCATACAAATTATTCAAATTACACTACCCTCGCGAATCCAGACCCAGCTTTCCGGTTAATCCGGACAGTCTGTTCCCATCATATCCAGATTAGTGAGATTGTAATAAATTCTTACCTAATGGTTATAACAAGGCGTTCTTCTGGAAGAATCTTGTGTTTGTGCAAATTACACCAATTCTTCATCATTTGAGGTTCACATTTTTTTAAAATGTAGTAGAACGTTTCCACTTCCATCCTAAAATATTGGAAGAAACGTTTCCTATCATCTTTGAATTGGGGAAACAAATGGTGGTATTCCCCATATTCACTCCTTAATTTATTAATTTGGTGAACACCGATTCTCTCGCGTTTTAATTTATAATGACAACTATCAGTAGCCATTAACAAGCACGCTAGATCTTCATTAGAAAATTCCATGTTTAAGTTTCTGGATCAACGAACATATAACAATGTACTCTATGACTCCGTACGCGTCGAATGAGAAAGAGAGACTGTTGAATGACTGTCGATTGCGACTTTGTACAGATTAAAAGTTTATGAAGTGGTTTTATTTTTATATAAAAATGTAATAAAAAAAATTTTCCGTTTCGCCCAAAACAAAATTTCGCTTTAAAACCCCCCCAAATTTCGGGTAACTCCCCCCCAACCTGGCAATAGTGCTCGCGTCCGCGTCTTGTAATCTGCCTCCACTGTGGCCATCACCTGCTTTGCTCAAGCTGACATCTCACGAGCCTGCTTTCTGAATCTGAATCTGAATCTGAGTGCACTCTGGCCGCACCCTACGGGTGCGGCCAGAGTGCACTCAGATTCAGACTCAGATTCAGATTTCGAAAACAAGCGCGAGAAATAAACAGTGTAGTCTAAGCAGGTTGCTTGCTTTTTCTCGCGCTTTGTTTTCTGAGTCTGAATCTGAATCTGAATCAGGAGTGCAATCTGGCCGTACCCTTCGACTACACTGTTTATTTCTCGCGCTTGTTTTCAGAATCTGAATCTGACTCTGAATCTGAGTGCACTCTGGTCGCACCCTACGGGTGCGGCCAGAGTGCACTCAGATTCGGGTGCGGCCAGAGTGCACTCAGATTCAGAGTCAGATTCAGATTCTGAAAACAAGCGCGAGAAATAAACAGTGTAGTCTAAGCAGGTTGCTTGCTTTTTCTCGCGCTTTGTTTTCTGAGTCTGAATCTGAATCAGGAGTGCAATCTGGCCGTAACCTTCGACTACACTATTTATTTCTCGCGCTTGTTTTCAGAATCTGAATCTGACTCTGAATCTGAGTGCACTCTGGCCGCACCCTACGGCCAGAGTGCACTCAGATTCAGATTCAGACTCAGAAAACAAGCGCGAGAAATATACAGTGTAGTTTAAGCAGGTTGCCTGCTGCCACTATGGCCACCCTGCTTTAACTACACTGGGACCAATTCTGGCGTTACATTCTCTTAACCTAAACTTAAAATTAGAGTGCTAATTTTAGTTTAGGGTTAGAGAATTGGTATTCTGAAATTGCTAACTAACTAAATTAAGAGAACAGTTGACAGCTGTAAACGAGCATCTAAATTGAATTCACAGATTATGTAAAAGCATTGAACTGGTAATTATCGGTTTACTCAAATTAGCAATAATTACTTATTATTCAGTGATTTTGACTTATTTTTTTATTTTATTTAAGTAAATCTTTGTTGTTCTTCATCATCTTTGAAATATGAAAACTTAACATAACTTTGTTATTTTACTGTATGAGAAATTATGAATCAATAATTTTAAAGAGTGAAAACTTGCCTACTCTGTGGTACTTAGGGTTTCTAGATTGGGAGTGTTTATCCTTATTTTGGGGAAAAATAAGAACTTGGAGAAATGTAATCTGCGGGGAGAACTTAAGAAATCATATTTTTTCTTTGAAAAAGCAAAGTATTTACTTGGGCTAAACGATGTGACGAAAAAAAATTACAAATAAGTGCATCGAACGAGCAATTACGTAGGTACCATTGCGCCGTGATCCAGTCTAATCATTCAGATGAAGTAAATAGGGTAAGTGTAGTCAAATAAGATTATGGACATAATCCATGTAAAATAAATGATTTAATATTAGTTAACTAGAGAAGTTCGATGGCGCAGACGATTAGCTCGTTCGGCTGCGATCGTTGAAGTTAAGCAACTTTCGCAGTGGTCGGTCATTGGATGGGTGACCAAACATCTTCTATGTCGAGTTCCTCGTTCTCCCGGCTGCATCTGCAGTCGTTCGCACCCGCCAATCCGCACTGGGCCTGCGTGGTGGGTCATGGCCTAATCTCTCTATTTCATCCATAGGGAAGGCCTGTGCCCCAGCAATGGGGACATTAATAGGCTGATGATGATGATGATGATTAGTTAACTCTGCTACGGCCGACAGGGTCTAACGTGAACCATCCTTGAAAATTTCTCGCATCGTAAATTCCCAATCCAGCGTATCTATCTAATACCTATAATTTCGGTTTCGGTAAGAGGTTGTAAAATTATCCCTTCGGCTGTTTTGTGAAGATTTTATTCTCATTTATTGTATAATCCGAGATGCGTAACCTATTTTTATCTTTTTTGTTTCTATCAGTTTTTGGCGAGATCATCCCAATTTTTCATTTGGTGAAGATGCCCAGTTTAGGATATATAAAAACAAACTTTTCAATTACAAACAGTAGGTACTTATTTCGTGTATGGTTATTTTAAGAAATATGATTAGCTTATAAAAAGTTGGAAATAAAAACATTTCTAACTAATAGGTATTAAAAACTGCTTCATAGAAACAAAACCACATAAAACAAAGGAACAAATAATACATATTAAAGTCTAAAGTACCTACATTTAAAGTCAAAACAACATTTGGATTGCAATTGGTGATTGGAATGCGAATCACTGTCACCATATCTCTATTAACTTGTTAATTATTTGACTATATACTTTAGATATAAGTAGGATCTGTAAGTATTATTTATAGAATTAGTACATAGATTTTTTACCTTTTTAGGTTGTTTTTATATAAAGTGGATTTTTATTATGTTATATAAGATTTTACCTTAAATTATTTAGTATTTTATACAACATATACGAGTACATTACCTACGAAAGACCACAATAGCGCAAGTGTAACGCTTTCGTTCTGCGATCGTGAATGTTACGCAATTTTCACAATGGCCGATCTTAGGATGGGTGACCAACCCAAAAATGTATTAAATCGAGTTCCTATGTTGCTGCTCGCTGCAGCTCGGATTTATTATAAGCATGACACATTAATAGGCTTATAATAAATCCCCATCGTAACATAGACCTACCTTTTAAAAATATTATCACCGTCGTTGTTCATTATTGTATAAAATTTATGTCTTTTTTTAACGAAATAAACCCATATCCAACCTTAACAACAAGTTCAAAACTTAAGTACAGCAATCATTTACGTGATATTTGGCCCCAATTATTCACATTTAAATTTAGAGAGGACCTCCGTAGGTCCTTCTTAAATTTAGTGTGACATTGGTGCCAATTCTGACGTGATTCTCTAAACTTAAAACTAAAATTAACATCAGTCTCTCCTTTTCATTCTGTATACAGAATGACAAGGATATACTGCTGTCAAATTTAAGTTTAGGTTTAGAGAATCATGCTAGAATCGACACCATTTCTAATTTTAGAGAAAATATGACATTTAGAACGCGTTTCAGAATACCATTTAATCATCTAAATCTAAGTTGAATAACTTAGCAACGTCAATTTTAAATTTAGAGATAGAGTGTCATTACAGAATACCAAATTGAATTTGACAACTCTATATCTAAATTTAGTTAGTTTTAGATATAAGTTGGCACGCCAGAATTGGGCCCACTGTTTATTTCTCGCGCTTGTTTTCTGAGTCTGAATCTGAGTACACTGTGGCTGTACCCTTAGGGTACGTATTGACTACCTCACAGAAGCTTATCGAAAAAGCTAGCTCGATATATTTCGTGCCAAATAAACAGTGTAGTCGAAGGGTACGGCCAGAGTGTACTCCTGATTCAGATTCAGACTCAGAAAACAAAGCGCGAGAAAAAGCAGGCAACCTGCTTAGACTACACTGTTTATTTCTCGCACTTGTTTTCAGAATCTGAATCTGAATCTGAGTGCACTCTGGCCGCACCCTAATGTAAAAAGAAAAAACAGAATAATTTAACTTAAGACTAGGCTGTATCGGCAATGTTCCCTATGCCTTACCTGAAAAGGGAGAACTATACCAAAAAAAAAGGTAGTTGTTCTCTTTTAGTCTGTGATATTACGTTGACAGTCTTGACAGATGTTATTGATGTTATTGTGAAATTATTTATCGAGCGGGGCTCTCGTGGCGGCCAAAGATGGTTTTTTATACGGTGGCGGCGCAGTTTTAAAGTCTTATCGTATTTTGTGGCTGCGATTCGATTTTCTCTTCGTGTTTTTTTTGTGAAGGAACATTGTTTAAATCTGCATTCATAATACAGATTGGTGATCGTTATATTTTCTATGAATTGAACAACTGTACTGCATACGAAATTATACGTGCATAAAATTAATAATGAACGATGAGAAGCAACCACTTCTCACTGGACCGAACACTCCAAATGAAAACAATGATGTACATGCCGTAGAATTGTTAGATGATCCGACAGTGCCTAAAGACATTAAAACCAAAAGCGATTATCACCCCGCATCTGAAAGATGCCTAGAACATCCTACATCAAATTTCGATACTCTCATTCATCTACTCAAAGGCAATGTTGGCACTGGAATTTTAGCCATGCCCGACGCATTCAAAAACGCTGGTCTAATGTTTGGTGGGTCATTAACGATTTTCGTTAAAACTTTTAGTTTGATTACGTATACTTAATGTTTTGTATTTAAGGCAATATAAGTGCTTGATTTATAAATCCAAAGAAAATATTACTAGAAAAAAATCTACCAGGTGCAGAAGGGAAGTGAAATTTTTTCTACTCTTATTTTTTTTAGATTTATAGTTAATGTGTAACTATAACATTATCTTATGTTCTTACAATCACAGTTGAGGAAACATTTCTTTCTGAACTCTCATCTGAAATACTTATTTTTTACCTTCATTTATAGGTGTTTTTGGCACATTAATTATGGGAGCTGTTTGTACACATTGTATGCACATTCTTGTTCAATGTTCAAATGAGCTGTGTATCAGAAATCAAAGACCTGCTTTGGGGTTTTCTGAAGTGGTAGAAGATGCTTTTACATCGGGACCAGTGCCTTTGAGGCCATATGCCAAAAAAATGAGGTATGCAATTTATTGTTAAATTATAAAAACTGAGTTATGCTTTTTAATTGTTTGTTAACATCTGAATAAGATATGATCTGTAATGCTTCCAAACATCAGACATTCAGAGATTTTAAAAAATAAATAATATATCCTTTCCCTCTAGAACCTATTGCCAAATGTATAATATAAATACGAGCAATTGTTTAATAAAAACCTGTAAATGCAGTTAAATAGTGATTTAAATATTAAATTAATAAAAATCTACAAAAATTAGAGAAATAAACTTTGCTACTACACATAGATTTTTATGCTCCTTCAAGATCTGCAATCATATATTATGTTCTTAGGTACATATTTTACTATCTTATGCTTATTTAAAATGACAGTGGTCTGTGGCCCCCAATCTTTAATACATATTATCAAAAGAACTTTTGAACTTTTATGTACTATAATATAGAACAATGAAGTTAGATGGTTTACCCCCTGGGTACTCTTATTCACTGTTTTTAATAAAAAATATTATTAGCCATAATAGATATTAAACAGGCATGCTGTTAATATTCTAGTTATCTTATTAGATATTGGGTTGAATGTGCCTTGCTGAATTTGCTCTTATAAAAAATTTATACAAAGGCCTTAAACAATTTGATCACCATAGACCTAGTGTTTAACATAGCAATACTAGAGTAATTGAAAATTTTCACATGATAAATGCTATGAGAAACATTTTATGAGGCATTTTTATATAACATACTGACATTTATTGTTTCAGGGCTATAATCAATGTTTTTCTGGTAATAACACAACTGGGGTTTTGCTGTGTGTACTTTTTGTTTGTTGCGACTAACCTTCAAGATACTATGCGTTTCTTCCATATAAATCTCAGTGTGCATACATATTTGGCAATCTTGTTTCCAGCAATATTCGCATTATCTATGGTGAAAAATTTAAAGTATTTAACCCCAGTGTCTTTGGTTGCATCTATAATGACTGCTTGGGGCTTAGTTGTAACATTCTATTATATACTGCAAGATTTACCTCATACTAGTACAGTGAAAGCATTTGCAAGTTGGCATCAATTACCTTTGTATTTTGGCACAGCTATTTATGCATTTGAAGGTATAGGAGTGGTAAGTTTCTTAATCTACACTTGCTAGCATTAAAAAATTAACCAAATTTTAGCACTGACATTAATATAATAAAGCAAAACTACAGTTAATACATAAAATAAACAATAAGATTAGAAAGCAGACATTTATAAAGGTTAAAAACAAGATTTGCTTTTGTAATATAAACAGTTGGGTTGATTTTTTAACTACAAGTGTAGGTATATAAAAGTTTGTTTATAATTATAATGTATCTATAAATTAAGATTACAATATTAAAATTTGCAAAAGATAAACATTTAATTAACTTGAATCTAGCCTCTTGTCACAATTATATTAAATGTAGCAGATAAGACAGTGTTCACAATTTAATATGTACACCACTGCTTATTGCGAGGGGGCGTTCATTAATTAAGCGTTAGTTATATCACTGAGTTAGCGTACCACTGGTCAGTTTTCTTACTCAACAATTTCGCGAATCCATAAGGTTACATAGACAGTATTGGTAGGTTGACAATTGCGCTACTTAGGCATTATACACATACATATTTTATTTGTTAATAAGCATGTTTAGATGTTAGAAATAAGAGTTAAACTAGGAAACAAATTAAAGAGAGTAACTAAGTAAGTTCAAGCAACATTATAGTTGCCTATATATGCGGGGTCATCTTGGCACATATTTGAATGATACTGTGACAGTACAAATAAGGTCTAGAGACATATTAATCATTTTGCGTGGGAAAATTACATAATAGGTTATTATTATTATGAATATTGATTGCCTTTTCTGTAATCTTTGTTATTATTATGAGTGATGTTGATATACATAATTAAACCACTAAACTAATTTACCTTCCACTGTATCTAATCGTTATTTGCCGAAGTCATAAAATTCTCCATTGAGTTTGTTAAATTAGCCTCATTAACAAATTTTCCAAATGACTCGCTTAATATAACGTGAACGCGGGCGCCCGTGACTTCGTGCACATTAACTTTAGCTTTTTGAGAATCCCACAAGAAGTAAACTATCCCAATCGAAGTCATAAACTATACGCCTTCCCTCAGATTACAGTACCAAATTTCATATAAATTCCTTTAGTAATTTGTGCGCGATTGAGTAACAAACATACAAACTTTCACATTTATATTAACGTAGTTTATTTTTTATCCAATCCACGTTTTCATCAATCTAGAATGCTAAACTTTATAATTTATTTCGTTATGTATTCATACGAATTATTAAGTCTATTCACTCAAAGAATAACATTTTAGTTATATAACTTTCGTCCCCTTTTTTACTCTTTTAACGGGAGATTTCCAAAAAACTCGGATACACATTATTCTTTAATTCTGGTCTTTAGTAAAAATACAAAGTTTTGTGTTACTTGAAATGCGCGTTACAATTAATTCATTTAATATCTTCGATACCATCCTATTCCCCTCTTAGGTGAGGAAAACTAATAATGACAAACTTAATAATTTATTTAGATATGTATTTGTGCCAAGTCTATTTACTCACGGAATAAGAATTTTCATACAAACTTTCATCCCCTGTTAAAATTTCCTTTCGGTGGTCAATTGAAAAATCCTTTCTCAATGTAATCCTAGACCTCATAACTATCGTACCAAAATTGGAGTCTCTAGAACTACGTGCCAAATTTGGAGTCTCCTGACCCATCCGGTTTGGGTTGTGCATTGATTGTCAGTCATTCTGTCACTCAGTTTCTGCTTTAATGTATTTAAGATTATGATAAGTACTTCCTTTATTTATTTAACTTTTTTAGTACCAACTCTATATTTTTTTCAAGTTTTACTGTGCTCAATCATGTGTACCTACTACTAACAAAGCGACTAATAATATAAACGTTTTGAACCCGCTTTGTTGCTAAGAATCTAAGTTCAAATTTATTTAGTTATAAAAGACATTAAACTATACATTAACAGTATTCCTCAAACATAGGTACCTATTTGATCTCAAGAAAATTTTGCTAGAATAAATTCCACGCGGTCCAGGCAGCAGACGGGACTCGAGCCCGCACCCACCGCTATCGATGCACTGACCAAGACGAGTCCCGTCTGCTGTCTGGACTGCGTAGAATTTTTCTAGTAAATTTAAACATCTAACAGTTAACTGCTTTAAAATAAAATATTTGATATAGCTAGACACTTAGTATAATTAAAGTCGTTGTCAATCTTTGTAGAAGGCTCAAAGTATTCATTACTTACGTATTTTTTATAATGCCGCCAGTGGAGAACCTACGTAAAAAAACCGCATTCATATTAGGAGTCTCACATCATAAGTTTAATTTATTTTACTAGCTCACCCGTACTGCCCACTTCGTTGGGCGGCAAACATGCTTTACGACACGGTCGCGGTTTCATACCTATGTCGTATTATCTCTTTAACCATTCATACAAATGAAATACAGTAAAAGGTAAACGTTTAGGTATTATTTACACTTGAGACGGTAAAGATATTGGGAATATATATTGCCACGGTAATAATATTACCGTGCCATTGCCCCGCTTATCGAAAAGTAGCGGACACAAACGAAACCTATTTCAATGCATAGATCCAATTATCTACTTTATCCCTGTGAAATTTCTGTAACCTATGGGAATCCTGTAAGGCCAAAGTGACCAATAAACATGACCGAATGTTTTTTTTTAATAATTAGGTAATAAAAACTCGTTTTTGTGACTTAAATATAAAATTTAGACATATCGCACGTCACAAACAAAAGGGTATTTTCTTCAAAAACAGTGATTTGAGATATCGCGTTTTAGTACAGTCAATCTGTCGAAAAAAATATCGTTTCAGTGAAAAAAAAACCTAAAGGATAAGTCTTGTTTTTTCTGTTGCCAAATGACGTCAGTAAGCCACCTTGGCGATGGGCATGTTCAACTCGTAGGCGTTTTTTGAAAAACTCAAAAAAACCGTCAAAAATTTTTTGAAACGCATTTTTCTTGTTTTGTATGCACTTTAGAAACTTTTTTTTCGACCTTAATTGTAGAGGGCGTTGAGTGCTACAATTTATGTCATTGTTGCAATCTCGTACAACAAAAAATGCGCATTGTAGGTGGCGCTAAAGTCTCAAAAAAGTGTTTTTTCACTTTTTCACCCTGAAAATATCATTTTAATGGAAAACTTTAAATGGCGAAGTTGTTTCGTACATAATTACCAACAACTTTTGTATAAACAATTTTTTTGTATTACTTACCGTTTTCAAGTTATAAATTGCGCAGGTATGAAAAATCCAATAGAACGGTTTTGGGCAGTTCAAGTACACATTTGCAGTGCACATTTCAATGTACGTTTTTACAATTTTGTTTATCAATCATGAAAAAAAAATAAAAAATAGTAAAAGGTACATTGAAATGTGCACTGCAAATGTGTACTTGAACTGCCCAAAACCGCTCTATTGGATTTTTCATACCTGCGCAATTTATAACTTGACAACGGTAAGTAATACAAAAAAATTGTTTATACAAAAGTTGTTGGTAATTATGTACGAAACAACTTCGCCATTTAAAGTTTTCCATTAAAATGATATTTTCAGGGTGAAAAAGTGAAAAAACACTTTTTTGAGACTTTAGCGCCACCTACAATGCGCATTTTTTGTTGTACGAAATTGCAACAATGACATAAATTGTAGCACTCAACGCCCTCTACAATTATAGTCGAAAAAAATGTTTCTCAAATGCATACAAAACAAGAAAAATGCGTTTCAAAAAATTTTTGACGGTTTTTTTGAGTTTTTCAAAAAACGCCTACGAGTTGAACATGCCCATCGCCAAGGTGGCTTACTGACGTCATTTGGCAACAGAAAAACCAAGACTTACCCTTTAGCTTTTTTTTTCACGACTCAACCTACAGATTGACTGTACTATTTTGTAGATTTAAAAAATCATAGAAGCGGAACTACTTGTTCAAATATTTAAAATGATACCTTGATTTAAACGTACATTATGCTTCTTTGTGTTCAGTAAGTTTAGTTAGTGTAATAGTAGTTTTTATTTTAAAAGTACTTTTATGTGACAGGGTAAAGAGAATACCCTATAAGCAGTTCAAATGGCTCATGTTAAAATTACAACTAGTATCATTTTGAAATAATTTCGCTGAAAATAACATATTAAATAAAATTGAACAGGCCAGAGGGTATTATTTTGAATAAAACTTCAACTTGTATTAATCCGAACGGGCAATAGGGTATAAACTTAACTTAATACTGTTTAGAATACTCACAATCATAAATTTTGCCTAGAAATTGACTACATGTGTTGCTATAATTCAAAAACTATTTCGAATTAAAATACAATTATCTTACCAGTTTATAGAGAAAAAAATGTAGTTTTCGAATCGCAAATAAAAAAATAAATGGTTTTGCTGACTAATATCCTATTGTTTGTGACGTGCGATATGCTGTCTTGTCTGATCTTTTTAGGCATTATCAAGCTCTACAACTTTTTTTACAACTCAATGATACATAAATCTCTCATCATTAAGGCAGCGTATGTAAGAAACGTTTTAAGAGCCCAATAAGGATGAGCTAATTTATTTTTAGGTTTAGATAATCGTGCATTAATTAGGCCCTATATATCTAAATATCAATTGACTTAGCAAAGCGATTTATCGGTGTTCAACTCGCTTTTCTAAGCCCAAATATATGTACTTAGTTCAAAAATTTTTTTTAATAATATAAAATTGCAGATGTAGGTACTTTTTATTTCAGATCACTTTTAGTAAACGCGTTACTAGAATGTATTTGTTCAACTTTTACCCGTAGAAAAAACAAATACGAGTAAGTACATAATTTTATGATGTTTTCAGGTGTTACCGCTTGAAAACAACATGAAAACTCCAGAAGATTTTGGTGGATGGACTGGAGTTTTGAATTTAGGTATGGTGATAGTAGCAGCATTATATACCGCCATCGGCTTTTTTGGATATCTTAAATACGGAGAACACATACTAGGCAGCATCACGTTAAATTTACCAAATGATTTGTAAGTTGTTTAAAGCCTTTACAATTATTCTAAACAAAATATTGTCTTTTTAGATACTACTTATGGTTTATGTTTTCAGGTTGGCGCAAAGTGTTCGCACGGTGATGGCCGCGTCTATTTTTCTTTCATATGGCCTACAATTCTACGTACCAATGAACATAGTCTGGCCTTTCGTAAAATCGAAATTGACTTCGGAAGAAGCGCTCAAGCACGGCGAAATTGTGACTCGAGTTACGCTAATATTCATCACGTGTAAGTAGTTAGTCGCGATTTTTTAAATCAAAGTTTTTCTATATTAGGCGGTTCCAGCCATCAACACCTTGCTTTTAACTGTAATCCCTACACCATGGAGACCTGATTCGTACTAGATCTCACCATCAGAAACACAACAATACCAAAAGGGTAAGACCAAGTGCGACAATTTATGTTTGAAGGCTATCAAAGTTCAATACCTTTTTGATACTATTTGATACCTAAATTAAATAATCTATTACTTCGGCGAGCAGAGAATAAACATAAAAAGAGAGGGCAGAGATTCAATCGTCATCGCATCAGGTCATTTTACGATAAAACTTACCGTTTTGATGAAAACAGCGTAAACCTTTTTTTACCTTTGACTTCGTCCTGTCTATTAGCGTAAAACTTTTTTTTAGTTTTTTGTCTGATATTTTCTTTATCGGACTTAACCTAAAAATTAGTTTTAGGTTCTGTAGAAAGGACAATGGGCAAAACACACCAGCTCCGCCAACAATATAATAAGTATTAATCGATAGATCTATGAAAAACTAGCCTTTTTTATTATGACACCGTAAAAAAATATCCCGGTAGTCAAAACATATGACAAAATAAAAATATCCTGGTCGTCAAAATATGACACAAGGGCATATTTAAGTAGCTAAATAAATTAATTTTATAGCACCTACATTTTATATTATTAGTAACCATAATAATATGCCATATCGTACTATATACAACCAGATATGCGACAAAGCCTGCCGACCATCCTACGCTTGCATTTACTGAGCCACCACAAAACGGTTTACGGGGGTTGAAGGACTTGCAGTTGCAAATAGTCGACTCGTCTTACTTCGTTGTGATTGTGCGCTCCCTGTAACTTGATTGATTTTTATCTTATCCCAATATACATTTTTGCCCAATGTTTGCCCTTTCATTTGAATCTATCATTTTGTACTTACATACACCAAGTACATGTTGTCGCACTATTTCTCAAGTACCAATACCAACCACACTCTTAAACCAATCTGAGGTCTTATTTATAATAAGCCAACGATTCTTTTCGTAATCTTACTGAGGCGACCTGCGTTTTCGCAGAAATATTATTTTCTTTTTAATAAATAATTTAATTCGCCGATAAGTTTCATCCGAGAATTAAAAAAATTGCTCTGAAAATCTAAGCAAACTAGGCAGTGGCACTGGAAGTCACGGCCATTACATTTCGTCAAGTTCCTGCAAATAAATAGATCATTTAACTAAGGAATAAGCCATTCGGACTTAAGAAATGTTATTAACACGTCCTTATCACGTGTTAATATAGCACTAAACATGAGCTTGTTTAAGTACATATTTTTAATCATGATCGCTTTTGTAACTGGCCATTGAATGACTTAAACAGAATTGTTCAATCTTAATTATGGTTAGATAAATAAATGAAGTTGCTTACAAATATTTTAATAGTTGTTAGTTGAAGAGTTTACGTTGGGTCAGATTAATATTAATAAATAAATATTGGATAACAGCATGCAATGCTCCCAGAACTCAAACGATTAAGCCTTTGTGCTATGCAAAACAGTGAAGTGATACCTTACGCACGCCTTACGATACGCACGTAGATCCGAGGCAATACAAAAAAGTTGCTATTATTCAATGTCCCGGCCGGGGATCGAGTTTGGGACTTGCGATATAGCGACCCTAAAAACTTGATTAGCCTTCTTATCAATGTATTTATATTATTCCTACAATCTTCATTAAAATGTTGCTTCATCGACAAAACATATTTTTTTATGAGCGCTGATTTATCCTTTTTTTCTCGAGTGTTCATACCTGCACTTTGACTTTATCATTTGGGCTGTATGGAAGCATGGGCTTTGAAATGTACTTTGACTGTGAGTCCCGGCTTTGGTTCCGGCACCCGCTGCCGCCATAGGCCTCTTATTAAATAACGCCGTTGTCTTAAGAGCCCTTTTATAAAATTGCGCCGCTGCCGTACTAATCGGCGCGTAGGTAGATTTGCACTAGTATATATTGCATTTTATGGGTGATGTTTTGAGTGTTATAAAATATTTATTTATTAACCAATTATAAAAATATATACATATTTCAGTAGTTCAATGATGGTAAATTAGTTTTATGAAAGTGTTTGATAGTAATTCTATTTAATTCAATATCAAAATACGAGGTAAACCTGCATTATTTATTGAGAAAACTCACGAAGTTTAGATGTTTTTTTTGATAATTAATGAGATGGAAAATCAAAATTCTTATACATTATGTTACAACAAAGACATATTTCTGATGTCGTAGTAATTAATTTGATCTAATTTATTAAACATTATTGAGAGATTGAGGCGTTTGAAGTTGTGAATATTATCGTTTTTTCCGTAAACTAGCTGCAGTTGAACGATCCGTACAAAAAAAGGAGAATTGTATTTGCAAATATTCTACATTAACTTATAAAAGCAAGAATAAATCTAATGTTTACTTCTATTGGAAATAGTCAAAATCTTTTCTAAGGGGGTAAACGAAGCGCTCAAAAATAACGATTTTTTGCAAAAAATGTGAAAGGGCTCTTAAGGGTTCTACGCACTAACCAACCTGCGGGATCCAGCGTGCGAGACAGCTATAAGCACGTAAATAAGGGATCTCCCTTATTTATCCCAGCGCTAAACACGTAAAAGGTATCTTCTATCTAGAAGATACCTTTTACGTGTATAGCGCTGTCTTGCACGCTGGATCCCGCAGGATGGATAGTGCGTAGAGCTCTTTATCCAACACTTGTTGCTTGCCTTTGTCTAGCAACGCATTGATAAGAACGACAAGTTCATCTAACAATCTATACTTCGTCTATTTGTACTAACTTTATAAAGAGGAAAATTTTGTATTTTTGTAACGAATGAACTAATAGACAGAATTTAACAATTCTTTCATCATTAGAAGCTGCATTATTCTTGAGTAACTTAACTCCTATTTTTTTACTTTGTGGTCCCGGCTTCAAAGTGCACCCATTAACACCTATTAGTGCACAGGAGGCCCGAATGTTGAGTTCTTTGGAATTTGAGACAGATCATGAGAATTATTTCTAGGTTACGAAAGTTTGTATATTTTCGAAACTTTCGTACTTACAACTCCGGCCAACTCATATTTTATAGTGGTCTCTAAGTACTGGAATGGTACTGCATTAGACTCCAACGTAACCATAATTTTTAAACCTTTCTACAGAAGTTGCTCTATTTTATTATCCTGGCATATCTAGGTATTAAATCTATACATAAGTATAATAAAATGTTAGGAAAGTCAAAACTATGTATGTCCGTTATAAACTCTAAAAGTACTGCATGGATTTACTTCAAATTTGGCACGAATACATACGTATATACATAACATATAGGCTACATATTATCACGCTATCATCTATGGGGAACGAGCAGTGAACCTTTATTTCTAACCAACTCCACGAGTAGAAAGTCGCGGGCGGCCGCCAGCTAGTAATAAAATCTGTAACCCAAAAACTGGTAAAGCCAGTATCGATGCACATGTAGGCATATAATATTTCAATAAAATTATGTAGCTCTAACCGATATCTTATCAGTCCATTGGCCATATACAATATGAAGCACTTGACATGGATGAGGTCATCTAACGTGTTATCGAACAGTTTCAGCGGCGGCGTTGATTCCGAACCTTAGCGGCATTATTTCTCTGGTTGGCGCATTCAGCAGTTCAGCGTTGGCGCTCATCTTTCCTCCGATCATTGAGATAGTCACGTTCTGGCCCGACCACCTCGGCGCATACGGCTGGAAACTTTGGAAGGATATATTTATAATTATATTCGGCATCACAGGTTTTGCCTTCGGCACATACGCCAGCTTAGAATCCATCTTGAAGCATACGTAAAATTTGCTACTTGACAATGTTCAACTTGTTTAACCAAAGGCAAATTTGTTATTTATATTTTAATAATATAGGTGTTGTGTATTTAACCATGACAATAATTGTATGTAGTAATTAAAGGAACTTTATTTTTATTTTTAATGCATTTTTAGCTTGTAGGTATCCAAATATGAAATAAAAGAATCTGTTGAAATACCTTTATATACTTTCAGTATTGGATGTTATACACTTAAATTACAAGTAGTAATATTGGTTGTTTTTTTTATCAAATACAAAGTGTTATAGCAATTTTATATTCCAATCTCCAATTCAATCGAATTTTGTACCTGTTGGTAATTTTTGCTTATGTGATATTTTATTTATTAAATAATTTATATTGTTATCAATATTAACATTTAATTTAATAGGTGCTTTAAATGTTATCGTTATTTATTATATTCATCGGCGTTTTACTGTATTAATTTTAAGAATTCACTAGTGGTAATACTTATAATGACTAATATTACATTATGCAACCTACTTATGTAGTCAAATATATTAAATTAAATTATATATTTTTCTATATAGGTGCCAACTCAAGTCTGTATTATCAAAATACTTATTCAAAGTTTATTGATTTCAAACCATTAAAGTTTTTTGGACAAGTTTATAGAATGGTGAGATGCTTAATTTTACCTTTGGTTTTTACCCAAAATTAATTGAACGGGTATATTTTTGCTTTTCTTTTGTAATTATCTTTAAAAATTTATAATAATGTTATGACAAACTTTGTGGTTAATGGATTTATTAAAGATGATAGTGTTCATTACTGATTAAGTACAACAAAGAACTTCATATTGAAATTACAGTCAGTAAATAAAAAAGATTGCAAAATAAAAAAATAATATTTATTAATATAATATAATTCATTAAAAATAGTTTAATTGTTATAGTTCTATGAAACACTAATATAATAAGCTCATTTTCAACCAATAAAAACTTCAATATGTGGGTTTTTTGTAAGACGAATTTCATTCAAATATTGTATTTTTAGTTTTACTCTTAAACAAATTTGATAGTTTGTCTCCGACGATCTTATAAAAGGGTTCTTAATGAGATTATTCGGGCAACTATCGCCGTGGTGGCTTAGATCTGACCTATTTATTTTGTCTGTTTTACTGATTATTTTTTATATCGTTTTTATATATTTGTAATTATATTAATACATTTGTAATGCTAGTAATGGTTGGAATCAGAATATGACAAGCTTTAATCGGTAAATCATATATGAAAAACTAAATGATCATCTCGTTAACTAAAGTTACAGTGATACAAAAATATTTCTAACAGTGTGATAAAAATACTTTACACAGATTACTTCATTAAGCATATATTTATTTTGTAAGAGGTTCGAGATTGTTTAAAAATTAAAAAAATATGAAATGAATTTTTCTCTGGTAAGAAAAGTTCCTCTCAGCTACTGAAAAAGCTATATACGTACTTCTAGTGGTCTAAATTAACCACCAAGTAAAACCATTTGAAATTATTCTATATGTTTTACGGTGTAGGCAAACAGGATCCAACCTTTAGTAGCCAGCCGCTAAACACTTTTATTCCTTAATGCCAAGTTATTTATATTACTAAAGGGTATTTTTCTCACTGTTCCGTACTAGTTTTTATACATCCTTCCTTTTATGTTAAAGTAATGTGGTTAAAAAAATGCCCATTAAGTATAATAAAATTTATATTTATTATGAAACTAAAAATAAAGTCATCTCTATCACAATGACAACAAATTAAAAGTTAAACTCATATCAACCAAGAAAGGATTTTACTATTGCAAGCATGCTTACCTAAATAAAATGCAATAATCGGTATATTTGAAATTATTAATTTCGTGAAAAGTAATAGAATCTGTAGCTGAAACAGGAAATAATTTATTTATTAAGATACATCTGCCTGTACAAAATAAAAAAAAACTATACATTTTGATTCACTAGTATAGATGGCTTAGCTTGATGCTTGGATACATGGAACAGACACTTTTTTTGTAGATCTTGTGATTTATACCTACCTATATCAAATATTTTAAATGATCTGATTACATTTTTTGTGCTCATTATTGACTGTTTACTGAAAAAAATTAAGTATAGAAATTAACATACTTCCCACAATAAACTTTACTCTGAAAAAGTGTTGATTAAATAAGACAAAACTGTTTTATTAACATGATTTTTTTCGAGAGAATGTTGTCGTTAATCTTTATATTCCTCCCTCCCATTAGTCCAGGGATGGGAAAACTATGATCCGCGGGCCATCTCCAGCCCTAAAATGGTTCAAATCCGACCTGCGACCATCAAACAAAAATCAAAAGTTCTCAACAAAAAGTATTTTTTTTTTCACATGTTCCGAAAAGGAGCAACCCCCTGCCGAAACTTTTATTTCGCAGCAAACAAGTAAGTGGCCTGAACAAAAAATTGGTCCGCTATAGATTCTGATAGTAAATATAGGCACGATATGGAGAGTTTTCCCATCCCTGCTCTAGTCGAATAACTTCGGATATACCGATACCGAGCGACCTTTTGCGTTCTGTAAGTAGGTAGGTACCTAACCTACCTTTGCGAATGTGTCAAAATAAATGTTAGTAATAATATTGTTTGCTTTCTATGTCGAAGATATGTAAACTAATAATAGACACAAAATGAACTCATGTATGTAGTTACTTATTTTATTATTTCACGTGTTCCTTACCTACTTGTGACCAGTGTTGCCACCTTGGCGGTTTTTCCACCAGAACTGGTGCTTTTTCACGGCTTCTAGTGGTATGTTTTCATGATCTAGCGGGTATATTTTTTTAGTGGTTTTTTAACATGAAATCTAGCAACATATTTTTAAGGGGGGATCCCCTAACTTTCCGGAATTTCATAATGTTCTATGCTTACTCTGTGACAGGGGAATTCCTGCACGTGTTTGTCTGTTAATGGCTTCCTTTATTCGTTCATTCTGTTTCAGAAATTAGGTTCACATTCATTGTGTTGTTAAAAAGTGTAAAAGTTTGATATGATAGAAACAAACGTTTCTATATAATAAATTTAGTAAATTATAGTAAATTTGAGAAGACATGCTGAAACAAAAAAGTACAAACAAAAAATGCAAATTCTATCCGGCAATCAAACGATATCGATATTTATTTCATGATTATAAAGAATGAAGTAAATACATATTTACCTGGTTTTATTTCATTCTCTAGTATTACTAAGGTAACGCTCGGAAAAGTTATAAGTTTGTAAAAACAATATTGCCATTTTTTTTTTCAAATAACTAAATTTTACTAATTTAGAACGACTGCGGGATACAGTTATTTCTGTAGGATTTCATACATATTCACTGGCTTTTATTTAAATTAGGGTTCTTTTTTGTCTGAGATGTAATGTTAATTTAGCGGATTTTACCTTTGACTTGGCGCCTTAAAAAAATCCAAGGTGGCAACACTGCTTGTGACTTTTATAACGAGATAAGTATATTACAGGTGATTAGAAGATGGGTACAATAGTCCAGTCAACAAGTTGAAAAACGTGAAAAATAGAGATAAAGCTCCTAAAAATATGAGCAATAGCTCATTGGATTCGGAATGACCTCTAGAAAAAGGAGTTTTGAGGATTTTACTGCACGTAAAAAATTGCTATTGTTATTAACAAAATAAGATAAAAAAAAGATAAATTTAAAAAATCAGAAAACCCGACTGCTAAAATATTACTTGAAATAAAAACTGAAATTATAATAAAAACAAGTCCAGTAGGTCTATAATTCTGTTAAGTGGAGTTTTTGGCGGGATCGGAAAGCGTCACTTTAGCAGTTTTGTTTTTCTTGTTAAAAATTGTGTTGTGGCTGATGTTAGTGTCTAATAATCGTGGATTATTATTAACAACTAAGTGTTCGGTAACATGCACAAGTGTTGGCAAGTGAAACAAAATAGCGGAAAGTGTCTTCCGACGTTCCCTCAAGAAATAGGAAAAAAATTAGCAAATTAACAATAGCTGAAAAAATTTTTTTTTTCCAACGGGCATATATTTTTTCCAGTATCTAGATGATACCATATTTTTTTCAAATTTTTAAATTAATATTTGTTACTATAAAAAAATATTTTTATGTGGTACGCTGTCTTTAGTGGCAGTGCACCCATGCCGTAATGGCTGCGCGGAGCCCTATTTTCAGCGTTAAATTAAAATTATTAATAATAGAGATAGAGTTCCGGGAGCTGGAACTGTTTTTCCGGAAATATCCTCCTCTTTAAGGACCTTTTTTCCAAATATCTTAAATATTTTTTAGTTATTAACAAAAAACTAAATACCGCTTTTTTATCCTATTTTGCACAATTGCAATTTTTTACGTGCAGTAATATCCTCAAAACTCCTTTTTCCAGAGGTCATTCCGAATCCAATGAGCTATTGCTCATATTTTTAGGAGCTTTATCTCTATTTTTCATTTTGTTGACTGGACTACAAAGTTTTAAAGGGAATTGGCATAGACTATTTAGAAGGGACCATTTCAGCTACGTTGGTCTTCGATGAAGTTTGATTTATTTTTCTAACCTATGTTTATGCAAAGATTTAAATCGTTAGTTATGCCCTGACACCAAAAAATATAAATGTCTACATAAGCTCAGCGATACTATGTGCGGCGACCGTTTTGATTTATTTATTATACATTTCGATTTTAGAAAAATACAATTGCAAAAAAAAAAAAGTTATGTGGTGAATAAGTACATTGCAATTATATTATCACTAGCTGTTATAGAGGCGGTACGCAGTTCCCCGGGAACTGCGTACCGCCTCTATAACAGTCGATAAATGTGGCTATTTTTAATATATTTATTATTAATTAAATGTAGGACTTCACAAGCGAAATAAAACACAAAAAAATTCAATAGTTTACTCGGATAATCGATATATAAAACAAAGTCGTGTTAGTTAGACACTTATAACCTTAGATTAAAACAAAAAGGGTAGATACGGCACTAGCCTCCCAAAAGTGATCCGCAGCAATTGTGGTCCACGACCCTAATCGCTTTAGTTACAACTTGACATGCAAACGACGTACATGTGAACGCAAAAATAAAATATTGCTAATATTTTGTGTTTATAT